TTGTTCACTTGTCTGACGTATACTGTCTGGCGTATAGCAGCGCAAGGAGCACCTGTCTTTGGCAGCAGCTCCTTACAGGTGACAGTGTGATTTAGCTCAGTTCCGCCCCCAATTTTGATGGAGAGCACCCCAGGGGGGCCGGGTCCGAAGGTCTCCCACCCTTCTTTCCCTACCAGCCACCTCTCGAGAGGACTTTCGGATCGCCGCAAATTTCGAGTGCTTCAATGCCGCACGGACACTATATATTTACAAACATCCATGCCTTCTCCGGGATTCGAATCCGGGCCCTTCGGCACAGCATACCACCTGCTTATTTAGGGTAAATATTAGGTGTCCCCCTCACTTCTACATAACATAACATAACATAACCAGTATACCGGTTGGGCGGCGGGTTTTGATTTCCTCCATAAATGCAATTTAACAGTAGTTTTTTTGTCAGAGAGACTTCTAAACACCCAGCTAATAAAACAGGCTCTAACAAAGAATGTTTATGAACATGCTTTTTACCAGCTGATATGTCTTTATTGTTGCCACACAAGACATCTGTCCCTTCTTAGGTGGTGGGCTTGCTAGTGCTTGTGTACATTTTTAATGGATTGGATTATTCAATTATGGCAAAGCACACGAGAGCTATCCGCCTAAAGGGAGGGATGCCTTCGTGGAGAACTTTCTAAGGGCAACTGGCTCGTATACACGTTACACATGGGGAAAACCACGAAAACGCCCATGCAGCTACCCCGTCCGCGGGATTCGAATATCGGACCGAACTACCAGTGTTCAGCGTCTTTACCGCTCGGCCGCTGGTGGGCTTACATTTTTAATGAAAGATTTGGTCTTAAATTTTGAAACCTGGATAAATTATATATTTTTGGAATCATCTCAGGCTACTTCATTTTTTAGCCCAAAATTGAAAATTTGAAAATTTTTGTCATAAATTCGAAACAACATTAATAAACATAAATTCGAGAGAGTGGTCATGTGCTTTGTCACAGCAGCAGCAAAGTGATGTTTGTTAATTAGCAGGGAAGATCTTAAATTCGTGTCTTGATGGAAGCAAGCATTTGTATCAGATTCTAAATAAACTATAACGCTTTAAACCGAAATAGCAAAAATGTTTGTCTCGAGACGCTCTATTATTTAAAAAAAAATTCTGTTTCTAGCCCAATTAGAACAGGAGATGCATAGGGGTGTCTGAACCCCTTCAAAAGTCACTAATTTCCAACGGTTTTTCCGATTCCAGTCGAAGAATCCCGAAATTCTTCTGACACGAAAAGCTCTCCAAAATGCTGTAAATGGATTTTGAAAAAGATTTTAATTTTCCTGAATCATTTGTTTCTTAAAAATATATTTTATCATTTAAAATAAGAATAAACTATTTGTAAAAAAGAAAATGCATAAATAAACACAAAAGAAAACCTGAAAGGTTTCAGATTATAAATTACGTCCAAAGGGGCGTTTTTATAACATTTTGCGTGTTACCTTTATTTATTAAATATCATGTTCTTCGCACTTAAACCATAAATTTCCGTTCAACAGCAATGTCGCAAAATACTTTTAAATTGAGCCTACCTTTAGAATTTCCTATACACAGTCACCTTAAATAAAAAAATGATTTTTCTGTACACCGTTGCCATCGCTCGCTTTGAAATCGTCGAGTTAGTTAATCAAAAATTCGTTAAATTTTACAAAATATGAAATCGAAAATAAAACAAGTTTCAAATTCCGAATTAGGCCTTCCAGATGCCCATATTCGCACGAGGATTGCGTTATTCAAACATGGGATGGCTCTAGATACCGTTGTTTTATCACAATGCGAGAAACATACGTATATTTATGCAGATTCTTCATTATTAAATTCTTTAAATATAATACAGGGTAATAATATTCGGTGGTAACAATTTGAAAAGTGGTACAAGGTTCCTCAGGGTCAAAGCTCCTTTGGACTAATAATTTCTAAAAATAATCTTTTGCCACAGGCGTTTTTTAGGCTAATTGCCATTTTTGGTATTATCCCATTTGTTGGAACAAATTATTCACGAAAAATGCGTTCTCGTCGAAAACAAAATCTAAATTATCTATAGTAAAAATTTTTCAAAATTTTGCTTCAACTAGGTAATGAATTTGCTCAAGCAAATGAAACATAAATCTAGATAATGTTTAAATATTCTTTTGAAATTTATACAAAAATATAAGAGTAGATACTGCGGCCATTACAGAAAAATAGCGTATACCTCGGAATAAAAATAAATTCTTATTTAAAGAAACTAAGTTTCATTGATAATACAAGGTATTTCTCCAGCCTTCTTAACATGCCTTCGTAGTATAGTGGTTAGCACGCTCGACGCGTATTCGAGAGGTCTGTGTTTCGAGTCCCGGCGAGGGCATTGCTCATTTTTCATCTCTCCTGCTTCAAAAATACCAAATGTCTCGACAGTGGCGCCCGAACTTAAAGGTTTACAATGTATACAATACTACAATATACTCTCTACAATATATCATAAATAATTAATGTTTAAAAAGAATTTAAATAATTGCTTCTAATTTCAACATATAATTACACTTTTAAAAGATAGAACAAAAGTCACAGCAAAATAAATCTAGATCAAATTTTTCTGAAGTGTTTGCAACCCATATTCTCTCGCGAGAGCTACAAGGAAAATTAATCATAAAATTAAAACGTTGGGAAATCCTTTTACACAATGTTAAAAGAGCCTGATATTCTCAATATAGTGTTAAAGATCTGAAGTATATTTCAGTAGAATAAACGATACTCCGACCATTTTTCTCCATGGTGATTCTTACACGACAGTTGAAGAATATTTTAAGTTCTAATTTACCACGTGATCGAGTAGCCATGGGAACAATAAGTACAACATATTACTTTCCGAATCTGAAACACGTTTTTAGATTTCACATCTTTCTATGATGTATACACGAAGAGATATCTTATTTTACGTAATGAAGATTTGGATTATGTAATAAAGATGGCAGACTGTTAATCTAGGATTTTATATTATTTTATGGGTAATTCTTATTATGAATGTAAGTTTTTTTATGAATTATTTCTTTTATCTTTATTAGTAACTATTACAAGCCAGCTGGTATTTAGCGGTAATTATCAACAACAAATTAATAAATAGTATTTAGTTTTTTTCTACTGAAAAATATTGTAAGGTATATCCTAAGTTTAAAACAGTTATTAGTACAAAGGAGCAATGTGCCCTGAAGAACTATTATTTTCGTTGTGGCATTTTGCGTTGGTTCACTATAAATGTCCGATTGACTTTTCAAGCTGTTGCCACCAAATATGACCACCCTCTATTACATTTACAGAAATTAATCAATGAAGAATCTGCATCAATGTATTTACGTTTCTCGCATTGTGATATAACAACGGTACCTAGAGCCATCCAGTTTTAAATAACGTACGTTTACACCCGAATGTGGGCATCTGAAAGCCCAAATTTGGAATTCGGAACTTGTTTTATTATTCATCTCATAAATGGTAAAACTTTTAACGATTTTTGATTAACAAACTCAACGATTTCAAAGCGAACCATGGCAAAACTCTATGGTGAAAAAAAAATTATTTCCAGGGCGCGGAGCTGTGTGTCGGACATTCTAAAGATACTCTCATTTAAAAATTATTTTGCGACATTGCTGTTGAACTGAATTTTACGGTTTAAGTGTAAAAAAACATGATATTTCATAAATAAAGGTAACATATAAAAAGTTTAAAAACGCCCCTCTGTGCGTAATGTAAAGTCTGAAAGCTTTCAGAGTCTTTTTTTTTTTTTTTTTTTTTTTTTTTTTTTTTTTTACCTTTGAATGCTGATTTAATTTGGGTAAACCAAACCATTTAATGCTTTGGATTAAGCTTCTTGAAAATGCAGGAGTAAATTGTAACTAGTAATTTTCATGCTAATTACAATATGGATGAATCCTCTTTCTTCCACTATTGAACTACCTTCGAATTACCTTCGATTTTGAACGAAATGGCCCTAAATCTTAATCCTGTTAATGAAGAACTGACTTGTATGCATACATAGTTGGGCTTGTATGCATACATAGTACATTTATATAAAAAAATCTGAAAGGTTTCGGATTTTGAATCCAACGGGGCGTTTTTTAATATTTTAGTGTGTTACCTTCATTTATTAAATATCATGTTCTTCGCCCTTAAACCACCATAAAACTCAGTTCAAGAGCAATATCACAAAATAATTTAAAATTCAGCATATCCTTTAGAATTTCCGATACACAGTCTCGCGCGATGGAGATCAAAATAATTTTTCTGTACAACGTTGCCATTACTCGCTTTGAAATCCTTGAGTCTGCTAATCAAAAATTTTTTTAAGTTTTCTGAAATACGAAATCAATAATAAAACAAATTGAAAATTTCAAATTTGGTTACCAGATCTCATATGCGCAGTAGGATTACGTCATTCAAAATTGGATGACTATAGGTACTGTTGTTTTATCACAATTTGAGACACATACGTACATTTATGCAGATTCTTCATTATTTAATTTCTTTAAATATAATACAGGACCATAATATTGGGTGGCAACAATTTGAAAAGTTGCAGAGACATCAGGTATTTTTTGGAAGCAGGAAAAAGGGAAAATGAAAGGTCGCCTTCGCCAGAATTCGAACCACGGATCTCTGAAATAGCGACCCAGCGTGCAAAAACCACTACACCACGAAGGCACGCTAGAAAGGCGGGAAAAATACCTTATAAAGTGATACAGACTTTTAAAGTTTTCAATGCAAAATGCAAAAACGAAAACAATAGTCCCTCAGGGACAAATCTCCTTTGGACTAAAAAAGAGATACTTGCAGTTTCATTAGTATTTATTTATTACATTTTATAGAAAAGAAGATCACCAATAAGTTTTCCTGCGTAAATTTTTTTTTTCTGTTTTTGCTCATTTACTTCAACAAAAAATAATGATGATACCTAATCATTTTTTTAAGGTTCGTCGTCTGCAAAGAATATCTTAATTCGTTAACCCGGTGCATTTAACTGAATGGAGGAGTCAATCCGGGTACTTTTAAGAGGAACGTCAAAGCTTCCTTACACTTCAATAGGGAAAGAGGTAACAATTGAAGGTAAATTCTTTTGAAATAATTCTTACCTTCCTGGTTTATGATTCAAGGAAATTTCTCAATGATTCTTCACATCCTTGCTCATTGTCAAGACGCATGCTGTAATTAAATAGTTCCACATTATTGACTACTCTTTCAGAGAGAAACAATGATTATTCAAATATTGGATTTGTAACCCTATCACATGATATTTACTTTATAAAAATACCTATCCATGATGAAAACTACTTTTCGAAATCAGTGAAATAATACTAATTATTGCCATTCGAAAAAGCGCAAAGTATTAATTTTTTTTCAAAATAAATCTAATTTTCATTGAATAATAAGCCTAGAACGATAAACACAACTCTATCTTAAATTAGCCGCTACGCGACCAGTCTTCGTCTGCTTTTAAATGCACCAGAAAAATGCCTAAAGGGAGCACCAAACATTAAATTTAAGAACTGCACAGAATTTACTCTGCAGAACAACTTTATCAAAAAAAATTTAATAAAATGTATCACATACTAAAAAAATTACAATGAAATAAGCAATATCCCTTAATACAAATATTAATTACCCTAATAAATAAATTAACGAACTTCCCGTTGCAAAATCTTAAGAATTCAAATGGTACGAAAGAAGTTAAGGACTTTGTTTCCTAAAAAAAATCATGTAAAACTTTTTATATAATTAAAATTGTATATAATGAAAACATGATATAAAAAAATTACATTGAAATAAGCAATAAATCTTATATTTGCAAGAGAAAACAGTCAACAGTCCAGTATCCAAAGCAATGAATGAAAAACTGTTACCAAAACCCCATTTCTAAAAGAATGAAATTATCATCAGAAAGCAATAACCGATCAAAATTGTGCTTTCTGGATGGCATAATTCAAAATATACAAACCTCTTTGCCATTAGCTCATAAAGAGAGAAAGGGGAAAAATAAAGGAAGTTCTTTTCTGTTGTGCCTCGCGAGACACATGCGCGTCAAAATAAGAAGATTGCGTGTTGCGTGTATAATTAGCAATATTTTATCTCATATTTTCAACAGTCAGCAGTCCAGTATACAAAGCATTCAATGAAAAACTGTTACCAAAACCACATTTCTAAAAGAATGAAACTATTCAAAATGATGCGACTTCATCAAAAAAGATAAAATAAAAAACAATCTGATTCGAATTTCGAAACATCGCTTCGAGGTGCACTGTTTCTTGTTTAGATGCACGTATGTACAAAATTTCGTGGTCCTGGGTATATTAGTTTACGCTTAATTACTAATTTAGTTCTTTAAATTAAATATATATTTTTTCATATTAATTATTTTAATATTTAATTTATTTTTAAGATGCATGTACGGATATTTATACAATGTACACCAATACTTATGTAATGCAATGTACGTTGTACTTATGCAATATTAAACGTACGGATACTTATACAATGTACTTTTATGTAATGAACGGATATCTATTTTTAATTATTATTCTCATCAATATAAATCTTTTAAATTTTTATTCGTTTACAGATGCCGTATGGCATTCGTAACCTTTTCAAGTATATTTTGTCATAACTGAAATAAAAATTCTACCGAACACTTGATGGAATAAATTTGTCAAATTTGTTCGAATAATCGAATAAATTCGATTTTTAATTTTAGATTAATTTTCTATTTTTTCATAACTGAAATAAATATTCTACCGAACACTTGATCGAATAAATTTGTCAAATTATTATTGAGACTAATTTTATATTTTTTTCATAACTAAAATAAACCTTCTACCAAACCAATCAAAATTATACACATTGGGAAAAATAAATAAAACGTATTTCAAATTTGTATTTAAGGAATGGAAGCCTTACATGAAGTGAATAAAATATTCACGCAGGTTTCCTCTTCTTATCTATTCCGGTAAGTTCCGATTAAATACGGGTGTGTCCTTGTTCTATTTTCGAAATCTTTGAACCTTTAAAAGCTCATTATCAATCTAAATGGAATTTGAATTGGAAAACTACAAGGACTGGCAGCGATAGCGTGGCCGAGCGGTCTAAGGCACCAGTCTCTTCGGAGGCGTGGGTTCGAATCCCACCGCTGCCAGATACAAATTTTTAATGCAGCAGTGCAGCTTTTGTTTATATCCACAGAGATTTTCGATAGAGCAATTTAATATAGGTAATAGCAATTTGTGGCATTTCCGCACAAAACACATCTCGGTTATTTTTCGATAACTTGCAACAGCGATTATCAGTTTGTTTTATAAAATTCTAAGCTGCTAGATTACAAAAATATGTTGATGTTAAGTGTGAAGAATGATTATACGAATGATAGAGTGATTACAAAATTCATTTATTATGTTAGTGTGAAGAATGATTATAATATTATGACCTTAAAGTATATTTAAAATGTCAACTCATCTCCAAAAATCAGTTTCTTTATAACTGACTGGTATAAACATCAAAATTTGCATATTTCTTTCAATGCCCTTAATACGTTACTATTCGCTACTTTATGTTCCAAATATCGAAATTTTTATTATAATTAAAAATGCATATTTTATCAACCCCATTATAAACCATCTTGAACGCAAAACGGCAAATAATAATGTAACGCGCACTTTTAAAAGTTTTTAACATGTTGAGCCCGGCGCGGTCCCTGGGAGCGGCAGTGAACTTTCCGTTTGGCCGGCACTGGAATTTTCGTTTGGCTGGATATAGTCCCAATGAAATGTGATCAAATTTAGTTTTAATGAAATATATAGAAACATTCTAAACAAAAATACGGCTTAGCTCGCTGCCGGCTGAACAGAAAGGACAGCAAATTCGGCGCCGCGCTCACCGTGTTAAGGGAGAGCCATAAAAGTAGCTCTTTTTATTTTCATACTAGCAGCCACGCGGCCAGCCTTCGTCTGGCTTTTAAATATACCAGAAAAATGCCTGAAGAGAACACCAAACGTTAGTTTTAAAAACTGCGCAGAATTTCACTCTGCAGAAAAACTTCATTAAAAAACCCCCCACAAATTTTAAAAAAAAAAAAATTATTACACATGACAAAATTACAATTAATTAAGCAATATCCCTTAATAGAAATATTAATTATCCTAATAAATAAATTAACCAACTTCCCGTTGCCTTCTCTCGACAAACGTCCAGTATCCAAGAAAAACATTCAATTTAAAAACTGCACAGAATGATCGCCCTCATTTTTCCGAGTGGCAACAGTGCTGATTTTCAGCAGTCGGCAGTCCAGTATACAATTGAATGAAAAACAGGCGCTAAAACCACATTTCTAAAAGAATGAAACTATTCAAAATGATGCGATTTCATCAAAAGAGGTAAAAGGAAAAAAAAAATTTTAATGTTTCGAATTTTGAAAACTCGCTTCGAGGTGCACTGGCTCTTGTCTAGATGCAGCTATGCACCAAATTTCGTAGCCCTGGGTCTATTAGCTTATGCGCAGCACTACACAGACTCTTTTATTATATGTAGAGATAATTGAAAAATGACCAGGTTGGGTTTATATGTCTTAACTGAAAATATGAAATTACCTTGAACTCCTGTAATAGTTCAAATAAATAAATATATAGACAGACAGAAAGATGTACAGGCGCACTAAAACATCGCCATGGACAAAAACTGGTATCGCCTCACTGCACGAACCATCTATGGAAGTTCACCTTCGCGGAGCACGCTAACGCCATGCTCGGGCATTTGTTTACATGGCAGTTACGTATTAATATTGCATAATTTGCATTACAGACAATATTGAGGTAAGGTATACTTTACACGGGTACTTTGCATTTGCATGGATAAATACATATTGTATTTATTGTATTCTGTATGTTATTTACAGATGTAATATACATATTTCTTTTGTGTTTCGGTTTGGAGCTTTATTGGTGGGGGGGGGAGTGATTATGGTACGTGGTTCGTTGTTTGTTTGGTTTTTGTTACACGGTTCGCAGTTTATAAGTTCATTCATAGTGCAGTCCATATTGCAGGACACAGCTTATGAATTGATTCCATGGTGCATAGTGTTGAGTGCGTAGTACTGATGTATTTGTCATACATTGCACAGTATGAAGTAGTTCGTAGTTTGAGTAGGTATGAGAAAAGTCACGGTTGTTTCAATAAACGGAGATATTTGAGTGTGTTTTCTAAAGGCACTCCTGCATAGTATGATGGTTAAGAGCGGATATTCTTATTGTCGCATTTTCTGAACTTGGAGAAAGACAGATATGCTATTAAGTCAACTTTTCCATCATTTGTAACCATATGTTTGAGGGAAATTTTATATAGAAACATTTGCCAATATGGCGGAGTTTCTATGCCACGTGCGGTCAAGGTGACGCCAGTCAAGTGCCACATCATCATTACAGCTTATTAAGAATTTAAAAATAGGATAATCCAAACCCTTTATGTATTCCGTCGGAGGAGGTCCTGTTAGGAAAGGTCCTCTTATTGATTAAAGGTTGTTAAATGTTCTTTTCTTCCCGAAATCCGAAGTTCATTCTCAGGTCCTAACTTCCGCAGGTCTCATTCGTAGCCAAAAAAAGGCTTACTGGAGTGATTACAGTATTTTCTCTCAGAATGATAATTACACTCATGTCCATAAATTAAGGATAATTCAGAATGACATGGAAATCGAACTCTAAACTAAAACTTTCACCTGTAGAATTATCGCCCACATCTTCAAGAATAATATGCAAATTACAGGAAGCCAATCAGATGGCGCCTATAGTACGTCACAATGACGAGCGTGTGAGAGAAGTGTATTGAAGGAATGGTAGCAAAGAAGTAAAATTGTTCGAAAGCGTTCTGTAAGCCGCTCATTGTTACAACTGAATAGTTATGCCGCAGGGAACGTATGTGGATAATATTTTACGTGGTAGAATTATCGGCCGACTGGAATGTGGGCGTACACAGATGGTAGTATCCGAGGAAGTTGGAATAGCTCAAAGTGTCATCTCTAGGCTTTGGAACGATTCCAAAATGATGGAAATGTCAGTAGATGTTACCGTATAGGTCCTTCCCCCCCCCCAAGTTACAACGCCGAATTACGACCGGTATTTGCCAGTAACTGTCAAAAACTGTAGACGGAGCACAGCATCATACGTCAGCTATGCTTAGCCACGGATACTAGTATTTTATTTAACCGGTCCTATGATCCAATGACGACGTATCACACGGTGCCTGTAACCCTTTAGGGCCTCCGTATTAGGCAGGAAGTGGCATAAAGGCAAGAAAGAGCAGTGCGAATTGCAGCCCTTCAAGCACCTCCTACATGTATACCGGAACTTCGGAGAGCATTTCTTTCCTGAGTGGGGTTATCTTCCTCGAGATCAGCTCGATAACTGGATACGTAGCATGCCTGGGCGTTCTACGGACTGTATTACATCTTCTGGAAGACAAGCAATGTATTAACTATCGTGCCATCCTTGTAATATTAAGTTTTTGTAAGAGAGGTTTCTTAATAATTGCTGGCCCCACCAGCGGCCGAGCGGTAACGTCGCTGAATACTGGTAGTTCGGTCCGTGGTTCGAATCCCGCGAACGGACTGGGTGTTTTCGTGCTTTTCCCCACGTGTAACGTGTATACGAGCCGGTTTCCCTTAAAAAGTCCTCCACGAAGGCATCCCTCTCTTAAGGCAGATAGCCAGAATAGGCTCAATTTAAAACTATTTTCCGATATGCAGTCTCACCCGCTGGAGATAAAGATACTTTTTCTGTAAAACGTTGCCATGGCTCGCTTTGAAATCCTTCAGTTTGTTAATAAAAAATTCGTTAAAGTTTTACAAAATATGAAATCGATCATAAAACAAATTCAAATTTTTAAATTAAGGCTTCCACATGCCCATATTCGTAGGAGAATAACGTCATTCAAAATTCGATGGCTCTAGGTACCGTTGTTTTGTCACAATGCGAGAAATATATATATATTTATGCAGATATGTCATTATTTAGTATCTTCAAATATAATGCAGGTTTCTAACATTTGCTGGCAACAGTTTGAAAAGTACAACGGACATTTATAGTGAATCAATGCAAAATCGCGAAACGGAAACAATAGTCCTTCAGGGACAAAGCCCCTTTGGACTAATAATTCAATAAACTTTGATTTAATTTTTTGGAATCTTTAACAGTAGGGTAGAAACTTATTCACACACTTCAATTACCTTTTAACAACAAATATTACATAACCAAATCTTAAGCGAAAACTAGCTCCATTGCGTAAAAATACATGAAGCTAATTATTAATAATGAACGAAAGAAAGTGGCTTTGAGTTAAGATGAACGAAAACATCATAATATGCAGAGAAAATTGCATGTATCGAAAATCAGTATTATTAGACTGATCTATCAGATATAATCTAACCCTATAATAATCATCATTTATAATTTTTTAGATGCTGAAAAAGTCTGGAAAACTGTAGAAGTTTTCATTCATGAAAATATTTGCAAGAACAAGGTAAATAAAATTACTTTTTTATTTTTTATTAACTTCATAATGGAAAAAGTATAAATAAATATATTTTATTCTTTCAGTTTTATTTTTGTAAACATAAAACGTATTTTTATATTGTATTTTATTTCAAAAATATTTTTATAATTCTTTTCTAAATAACCAGGCTTGAACAGATACACTGCGAAAAATAGAAAAAGGAGAGTTCTATATCTTCCGTTCTACGCGGCCGATTAACGAAATTCGAATTGCGTTTTTCATGTCTCAAAAGAGCGACTTAGGTTATATATTAAATTTACATATAGCGTTATTCTAATTTACATATAGCGTTATTAAATTTACATATAGCGTTATTCTAATATAGATATTCTGACACAAAATCAGACTTTTTCTGAAATGATATGCCAATTTGTTTCCACATTTCGATTCTACTTCTCAAATTATGCTTAATATTAAATTTTGTAAAATTTGGTGCGAAATTTACGGAGAAACTCAAAAATTTACCTTGGTGCACTTTTTTCAGTCTGCGCCACTTGGTGAAATTTTTAATTTATAGTAATCTATTTCTTTTTTTTTTTTTTTTTTTTTTTTTTTTTTTTTTTTTTTTTTTTTTCAATGACGCACGAGCGGGAAAAAGGTCCTTCGTTCATTCTTTCAAATAATTTTTAAGAAATAATTCAAATAATTTTAAGTGCGTAAAGCCACATTTTCGTTATTATCGCTTATAATAAATACGCCAAATTTCAAAACGCGCCAAAATATAAATTCACGTATATCTTGGGAAAATTTTGAATAAAAAACTAATTTTTTGCAGGATCTGCTTTAAGACGATGGTAAAAATGTTATACATTGGAATTCAAAATTGTTTTCGACAAATTTATGAAAATTATTTTAAAATACAATTTTAAAAAAGAAACCATAAAAATGGGCCAGATTTATTTTAGAATGAACCTAAATTTCAAGTTCTGGAAGAAGGAATCAAGTAAGTTTAATAAAAAAGAGATATTAATAAATATGTATCAAATTCAATTAACATTGAGAAGCTAAAATTTTGAGAGCTAAGTTTTTAATAACTGCTCGTGCGATTTTTACAAAACTTGGCAATTTGGCATTATATGAGTCGTAATGACAAGATACCTATATTAGAACAATGCTATACATAAATAAAATACATATCCTAATTCGTGCGTTCGGAACATGAAAAATTCATGAACATGAAATTTCGTCAATCGCCCCAGTAGAACTGGAAATATAGAACTGTAACCCCCTCCTTTTTTTTGTTTGTTTGCATAGTCTACATGTTAAGTAAATTTTTTCTTGTGAATCTTTTAATGAGTGCTATCAGATCGTTCGACTTTAGTGAAACAAGTGTCAAAAATGATTGTTTTTAATTTTTAGAGCAAATGCTGGTCTGTATCATCTTTTACATAAAAGCCATTTGAGAAGCCGCAAAACATAGTTAATTGTACTGTAGTTTCATAAGGAGCATTATTTTGTGTTAAAGAGAAAAAATATTGTTTAAGTTTTTCAACTTGACTTTTATGAAATCATAAAAGTTATTGTTGTGGAATATGTTGTGGATAGAAAAACATATCCACAACATATTCCACAACAGCACGCTATCAACACCTTTCCTAACGGAAAGAGGCTAGGGTCTAATTTCTAAACTTTGAAGTATCGGAACCTTATGGAAGACTGTCAGAAAAGAAGATCAAAAATAAATAAACAAAATGACTAGTAAAATAATTAACCAATTAAAAAATTATTAAAATTAAATATGTAATATAGAATGATTAAACAATATTAAAATTTAATAAAATGTAAAGAGATGAATAAGAATATTGTTGCGTTTTTCTTTCTTCTGACGCCAGTTGTTACGTTATTTTCTTCCTTCACGTTCGTACGGGGCTCATGAGGATTTGGAGTGAATAATGACGACACTACTTGATGAAGTATCGAAACACACTTTATTAGCCAGTATTGTCAGGACAGCTCCAAAACACGTTTTACAGTCGTCTATAAACTACTATAAAAACGCTGATACGATCAGCGATAGAGCTTTCATGTTATCAGGCTATCACGGTGGAGACAGCTCCACTGCAAAGCACCATAGTACAGCTCCAGACTCTGCTCGGTCGTTCTCGGAACTCCACGTACCCTCGAGACTCTGCAAGCTACAACTCGCGATACACTCGACGACAAACAGAGCATGGCTTCCGACTCTTCGTTCAGTCGTTCCCGGAGCCCAACACGCTCTCTCGATGATGCACTAACGGCGATACACTAAGAGACTCCTTCGATGAACTCGACGACCCACTAGGCACTCGCTGCCCGGCTGTCAACTCGATCGACTCCTCAGAGATTAACTCGCTAGACGAGACACCAACTCGATACTGACTATCTCGCACTCTAGACGAGACACTCTTACTCGCCCTCTCAACGAGGCACACTCTGAGACACAAACTGACTGGGGACCAGCAGGGTTTTATATAGCTTTCGGCTTGTGTTCGAGAACATTCTGGGCTAAACCGGTAAGAATTCATTTCAGAAGGTTCTCCATCCGTCCATGGCATATCGCCAATTTTGTCGCCAAATGTGGCAACCCTGCCTTCCCTTGCGATTTTATGGCAACCCTAAAACTACTTTGCGGGGAAGCCATCTTACCGCGCCGGTACATTTCGAAACAATATAATAAGTTAATAAATAAGTGGTAAACAATTAAATATTAAAATAAAGTACTGGACCTTTACTTATTTAGGTTTCGGTCGAAATTACAATTTCACACAAAAAAATAAGAAATAGCTTAACTGGTCTGCGGTTTAATTTAAGCTTTGAATATAATGCATTACTTCAAGGGATGATAGAAACAGAGACCATTCTTTATCTAGCACACCAATGGTAAACGTTAAAATGGTTAAGCTTCACTAATTAAACTAGAGAGAATGTTAAAAACAGTAAGAGAACAAGGAGAAAATTTTCATGGATGACCGGTAGGTATGAAAACAAAAGTTCACCGAATCCGAGAGTTAGCGAGAAAAAAGTAACACGTGACAATTTTCAACTCCCGTGTTTGGTTATTACCCGTTGTTCCAAAAAGTTATGAATGTGCTCTTTTCCGCGGGATTACGCTAAGGTTGGAACGAAAAATTTACCCGCTGTCAAAAATTCATTGTACTTTTTGGAGAAGAAGCCTTTTACAATTGGATAGGGGCTTTTTTTTGCTTTAAAGTCCCGACCTCCATCCAAGGGTTTGTTTCCCAAGGAACGAAAAGCAAGCATTTCAGAAGTTAGAATCGATTTTTATTATAGTTTTACTTTTAAAATACTGAAATTGTAGTTCAGTTACATTAAAGAAGTTCTGGAGCCTTATTATTTAGAGCTCCGGTGCACTCCAGCTAGAACTACGATTTATCCCAAAAATTAAGAAGTGCAATTTAAGCTCTGAAAGTGGCTAATATTTACTTTAGGTTATACTTATCGAGTTTTACACTAAAATAATAAAAACTTAATAAGTTACATAAATGAAGTAATAATCAATAGAAATAGAATATATAATGATAGACGAATCGATTTTGAAACCAAAGTGATTTAGCTTAAAAGGGATATACTTTTTATAAAATTGTTGAATTTCTATTCAAGCGATCTTGGGTGAATGATTCACCCAAGATCGCTTGAATAGAAATTAAGAGTCAATACTTAAACATTTATCGTGTTTCGAGCACTAATTTTAATACTTCTGTTTCATTCTTTTCATGCAGAGTGTTGTAATCCGCCAAATCGGAACCTTTTGTGTCAAAGAGACGAAAATTCCGCTCGCACATAATCCATTAAGATATCTCTTCAAGAGAACACCAATGTTCTACGCTGCCTCACAAATGTGCTTATATTTCAGAATAAAGCCTTCTAGAGCAGAAGGTATGTAACATTACTTAGATTTACTGACATATATAAATAAATACGTCGTATCCTTAAAAGTTCTAAAGCAACTTTCATGTTATCGACAGCTGATGTAAGTAGATCTATATGTTATTAATTACAAAAGGTTTTAAACGAGACATATTCATGATTTATCCTTTTCTAAAAGAAATCAATTTTTAAAAATTTGAGCAATATAAAAATTTACGCCTTTGTTCAGCCGCTACAGTAATATTTAAACACATTCTAAAAAATAAAATACAAAGCGTTTGATTCTCTAATAACAAATACTGATCGAGATGTTTACTTTGGAAGCTCAAGACTTACGGCTTTGAGTAGTCGGTAAAAACAAAAATAATAATAAATAAAAAATGAAAAACAATCTGATAGCTTTCAAACTTTAAATTACGCCTAAACAGGCTTTCTTTAACATTTTGCGTGTTACCTTTATTTATTAAATATCATATTCTTTGCACTTATAGCATAAAATTCAATTCGACAGCAATACCGCAAAATAATTTTTAAATGAGCATACCTTAAGAATCTCCGATACTTAAGAGTCTCGCTCGCTGGAGATAAAAATGTTTTTCTTCTTTTATGTACAGAGTTGTCATTCCTCGCTTTGAAATCGCTGAGTTTGTTAATCAGACATTCTTTAATGTCTGAGAAAATATGAAATTGATAATAAAACAAATTCTAAATTAGGGCTTCCAGATGCCCATAATTGGTGGAGGATTACATTATTCAAAATTGGATGGCTCTAGGTACTGTCGTTTTTTCACTATGCTAGAAACATACATTTATGCAGATACTTCATTACTTAGTTTCTTTAAATACAAGGCTGTAATATTTGGTGGCAACAGTTTAAAAGTGAATCAACGCAAAATGCCAAAATGAAATTAATAGCCCTTTTGGGTTAAAAAAAAAAGGACAACTATGGGGAATTTTTTTCCCTTTCGTTTAAAGTCATTCAATGTGCAAGTGTAAAACCATATTTAACATTATTATATATGTTATATTTATTATGCCGAGGGCATTTTCAACTGAGTAATTTATAAATTTTCCAATGCAAACTCGGGTATTTACGAACTACTCGTGTGAAGATCAGTAACATCCACATGAGCACTTCATAAATACTAGAATTAGGACAACTTGATGGTAACAAAACCGAATTCTAATTTTTCCATCATGAAAATATATAAAGCAAACAACGATTTAAAAATAAATATATAATTTAACAATTTTAATAATTTAAAAAAATCTCCTTTTATTTACAGGCTCAAACTTTCTAACGGGGATTACAATTTTTCTAGCAAAAATACTGAAAATTCTGTATTAAAAAACATTATTAATCGCACGAAATCTGAGGGATATTCAAATTTTTTAATAAAAGTCTTAAAAATGAAGCATTAAAAGTGTCCGTAAAAATATTAAAAACATGTAAACACACATATTTTTTTTTGGGGGGGGGGGTACTTTTCCGTTTCGCCGGCGCAAATCTCTCCAAGCAGACTTTGTTGACGACAACATACAGTATACACATAAAATATGTTAACAAATGTTAGTTCTAAGAATTTTTTATTTTGAAGGCATAAACATTTTAATATGGTTTATAATTTGTAATAATAAAGACAATAAATTTGTAAAAAGACAATTTAAGAATTTACTATGCTATCATGGTTCAACATCCTGATTCGCCGGTTCGTATCACGTGACAACAAGTGATCTCATTTCACGTAAACTACGCTACAAAAATATAATTCTCTCAGTAATTATCTACATTAATTTGAAGTTAAATCTTAATTTTGAATACAAGTTTAAATGCAAGAATTATTTCAATTCCTACAAATAGCTTACTGAGAAATTATGCAAAACCGTAGTGCTTTACTTCGCTAGTGCATTCTCATTAGAATGGATGAATTTAACCCTTAACTTTGCCTTTTCTATATTTTCGCCTTCGGGTGAGCGGTGTGATTGCATCCTAATTGACTTAGTTACCGCAAATAGTCTTAGGGCATAAAATTTAATTATCTTTGTAAATATTCTATGTAGTTGTATGCCAGTATTGAAAGAAACAATCAATCTGGTAAGAAATAGCTGCGACTTGTTTCGAAAATGAGGTGTAAAAGGTTACCAGCGAAGATATTCCGTTTGGCCTCAGTTGTACCATTACTGGCGACTTTATCGTTTGCGCCGGCAAGACGGAAAAGTACTTTTTTTTTTTTTTTTTTTTGTGTGTGTGTGTGTGTGTGTGTGTGTCGACTTTCTCTGTTTCAAAGAACACAATGATAAAAACTCAAATTACATTCTGATCAAGACAAATTTTATATTAAAAAAATTAATATCCAAACAAAGAAAGTTATAAAAATTTGACTTTTTAATAAAGAAAATGACAAGTACAACTAGCATATTAAAAAAGTGAGGATTGAATTAGGACAAATAGGGAAAAAAAAATTATCTCCAGTGCGCGAAACTGTATCGGAGATTTTAAAAATATGCTATTTTAAAATTATTTTGTGGAATATACATATCTATTGTTACAGATTTTATATTTAATTTGCTAAATTTTAGTAGAATTGTAATAAAAATTGTTTCATTTTCTCTTGCAATGCTTCCGCGACGAGTTTTAAGAGAAAGCTACGCTGAAAAAGTAAAAACAGGAGTACGCGCGTTTTAATACAGGGGGAGTTTTATACTCGTTTAAATTTAAATTTGTTTAAATTTAAAATATATATATAAGAAGTTTGACTTCCGTACAAAAATTGACTGCCATATTTAATTTCAAATTTGCACTGGCCTTAAAGAATCTGTTAATTAAGTTAGAACAATTCGACAAAATAAGTTTGCAGCAAAATATGTGTGTAATTTAATAGGCCGTACACTGGAGTCATGTGGATTCCACATCAGATTTTTTTTTAATTTCAAAAGGGTAAAAGAAAAAATATTTGCTCGATTTAAAACATTTTTACATTGGGCTACATGTAAGACCAACAGTTGCAAAATAAAGCTCGTGCAAGGATTTTATGGACAGGCGTATGGTATGTATAGACATATACTTTCACTCTGTACCACTGTCTTCCTAACATGAATTCATACCAACAAGCTAGTTTAAATTATGCTTATTTCTAACTGAAATTCTTAAGAAATACATAACTCAATTTTAAAAACTGATACTTTCAAAATAATTCATTTAGAAGAAGAATCATTGAGAATGGTTAATGTAAAATAAACATTTAAATCTTAGGCGTAAATTAGAAATTTAACCTTTTATGTGAACAAGGATTATTAACAGTAACAAAATTAAGTTTTTTTTACAATCGAAATAAGATTTTTTAAGTATTTATTCTTTTACATTCGGAATAAGGATCGATTTTTAAGTGTTAAATAGTACAATTTTTAAAATTATTAATTTTTTTAATTAAAAAATTGTTAGTTAATTGTTTGTAGGAAAATATCAAAAATTGTGTAAATAAAAGTAAAGACTTCCCTCGCTTTTTAGATCTTCATAACGATCATTCCGCTTCCTAACGATAGATGGCGCTTTTCATTCTTTTCACATTGTAATGTAATTACACATATTTCAAGGGAAAAAGAAAAAAGAAAGGAAAGATAAGATAAATGAAGGAAAAAGAAGAAGGAAAAGGAAACTAAATATTGCATTAATAGCGACAAACTATCTTGCAATCAAAAAAATTTTAATAAAAATAGATTTTTAAACAGTTTTCTTAAAAAAATCATTTTTAGTTGAATAAATTGCCTTACTTCTTTAAGCAGTAATTTTAACGTCGCACGATCTTTCCTGATTGTTTTCACGAATTTCAGAGATTCTTCTAATGGATTCTTTCAGAGATCTTGCAAAAGAAATGGATATTAAATTTTTCTGTGATGTTGAATAAATCCATAATTTTCAGATATTTTCGAATTATTTTTTAACTTTTATCAAAATTTATGCATTTTTTCCATATTTATATATACTTTTATGCTATTAGAATTTTTTCGAAATATATACTGCACGCAAATTCTATTCAAAAATTCGAACAAAAATTTTGAATCTTCGCTTTTGTCTAGATTTTCTTTTCTCTGAAGTACTACTATTCTATAGAATGAGTGTCCTAAAAAAATAGATTTAAAAAAAAAAAAAAAAAAAAAAAAAAGGTTTTTCTTAGTCCAAGGGTCGTTAGCCCAGAAGCTCTATTAATTTCGTTTTGGCATATTGCGGCAATTCACTATACATAGCGAATCACTTTTCAAATTGTTGTCACCCAATATTATCGCCTGTGTCCTATTTAAAGGAATTAAATAATGAAGAATTTGCATAAATGTATGTATGTTTCTCGCATTGCAATAAAATGACAATACCTAGAGCCATCCAATTTTGAATAACGTAATGCTCCACAGAATATGAGCATATGGAAGCTCTAATTTTGGAATTTGTTTTATTATCGATTTCATATTTTGTAACACTTTAACGAATTTTTGATCAACAAACTCAACGATTTCAGAGCGAACATGTACGGGGGAGGGAGGAGGAAAAAAAAACATTTTTATCTTCAGCTCGCGAGATTGTAACAGAAATTCTAAAGATATCACCTTTTAAATATTTTACGATATTGCTATTGGATTGAATTTTATGGTTTAAGTGCGAAGAACATGATGTTTAATAAATAAAGGTAACAACCAAAAATTAAAAAAAGACCTCTTGGGCGTAATATAAATCAGCTTTCAGAATTAACTCCGTTCTTGCGCAGTCGTAAGTAAATAAAGTTTATCAACATGATAAAAGTTTTAATTGTTTAGAGAATATAATAATTAAACTAAATTCTACACCTTTCGTCAAAACATTCTACCACTCTTCCTGTGTATGCTCTCAAAAACAAATAAATTTTAGCATCAAGATGAATTCTTTATAAAAAGAAAATCTGCAAGCCTTTACATACAATGCTGTTCAGAGTTCAGAGAATAAATTTCCAAGAAACATTTATGTTATAGGGAATGTATGGGCACGTTGAAGCACAAACACAAGAAATAAAACATGAAAGAAAAGATACACACTCTCTTCACCTTACTAATTAGTTAGGTTCCGAACGACCGTTCGTAACATGAATTTGTTCATAAAATGTTAGTAAGCTCGATACTTGTGAGATAAGCGCTATAAATACTGCCAATAAAAAATTAAAAATATCGGGGAGAAATCAATAAAAAAAAATTTAATTTTATATACAGTACATTATAAATAAATAAAAAATCCGACAGCTTTCAGATTTTATATTACGCCCAAAGGATTTTCTTAACATTTTGTGTGTTACGCTTATTTATTAAATATGTTCTTCGCACTTAAAACCATAAAATTCAAACAAACAGCAATATCACAAAATATTTAAAAAAGAGCATGTCTTTAGAATTTCAGATACACAGTCTCGTATCTAGAGATATAAATGTTTAGATCTAGAGATATAAAGTCAGTGAGAGACGATTCTTGCGTTAAGTTTCCGTTTCCCTAAATCTTCGTGTAAAATCTTATGACACACGTCACGATTCAAATTCAGTTACGGTATATATTCAGTTACCGATATCATACGACGTCTTCTTGCAATAACCTAAAGTTCAATTACTATAAGTTGCATGGGATTACAATCAATATAAACAATAGCAATTTATAATACATTTAACAACAATAATGGTATTAGGTTAGCATTATTAAATCTGTAATGGTGTTGTGTTTATAATAAGGATGTTATAAACGTAACATATATAATACACTCTTTCGCAAAAAAAAAAAAAAAAAAAAAAAAAAAAAAAAAAAAAAAATCGAAGCACCAAGAAGGACTTTTGCGATCGTGACGAAATTTGGTATGCAAAAACATCTTGATCGAACATGAAAATGATTAAAGTTTCAAAGCAAATGAACAGGAATTGCCATCATAGCGCGCATTTCTAGTTCTCAATTCGCAAAGTATAAAACCAGTAACAGAGGCGGAAAATTTATCTTTTTTTTTTTTTTTGTGTTTTGTGTTTTTTTTTGTTGCTGCCATTGTAATTCCGTAGAGAAACAACTAAAGATGCCATTACGACGATATCAAAGACCTTACGGACAACTAAACGACTTCGAACGTGATTTCATTGTAGCTTCGAGAAGCTGAGTGGTCATACCGAGCAATAGACCGCCACCTGCAGCGTCCGGACACTGCTGTGCAAAGAGGTTGGCAGCAATGGTTGCTACAAGGAAGTTGCCGACGAAATGAAGGCTCTGGAATGCCAAGGAGCACAAACGCGAGGCAAGATAGGATGATTGTTCGCCAGGCCCGAATCGTCTCAATGGTATCATTGTCGACTATTCAACGCACTACAGCCACGTCTATACCTCCCGTGGTACCGTCCACCATCTCACGGCACTTGTCTGAGGCGGGGTTACGCTCACAGAGGCCTTTAAGACGTTTGCTTTTTGACCCCACAACATCGGCGGAGTCGTCTGTAGTGGTGTCGCAGTCGATCATCATGGCTGGCTGCCATCAGACTGGCATCGTATAGTGTTCAGGGATAAATCCCGCTTCAGTCTTGAAGCAGATGACAGTGTTCGTGTCTGGAGAGGACGGGACCAAAGGTCTCTACCAGCCTTTGTTTTAAAAACGCATACAGCCATAACCGTTGGTGTGATGGTGTGGGGCGCTATTTCTTATGACAGCAGGTCATCTTTAGCCATCCTCCGTACATCTTTAACAGCTTAACGATATGCTGATACCATCCTGAGGTCGATTGCATTACCCTTCATCGCACTTCGTACTGGGGCAATTTTTCAACAAGATAATGCCAGGCCACATACCGCTCGCTTATCCTTGGACTGTCTCCGTGTGGTTGATACTCTTCCTTGGCGAGCAAGGTCACCAGACCTTTCCCTAAATCGAGCATATCTGGGACATGGTAAGCCGCCACATTCGGGCACCACGAAATATCGCAGATCTGGAGCGGCAACGGATGAATGCCTGGCAGAATGTGTCGCAGGATGACATTAGGAACTTCTACCACTCCTTGCCTCGATGAATTCCAGCATGCATTGCCGCCAGGGGCGGTTCGACCAACTACTAATTTGAACACTCAATGGGTGATTGTGAGCCGTGAACAGGTAACATGACCTAGATTTTTTTAATCATTTTATTGCCTGTGTATGAGCTATACTCATATTCAATTTCATCAAAAACAACCACTTCCTTCATGGTGCTTCGATTTTTTGGAAAAGAGTGTAAAATGGCATTATGTTTATATCACTGTTATTTTATTGGAAAATAAATCAGCTCTTTCAAGGGATATTTTTCTTGCAGATATTCCTCCAATCACCTTTCTCAATCCTTCGACTATCGCACAGCGTTGCCACATCTCTAGACACAAAGTAAATGAATTAATCAAGGAAATCATTGTCTATATCTATAGGTGTCTTGCAGCAAATTCCGAAGCGAAATTGCCTATACATGGTATAGGAACTGTGATTTTCAGAAGTGATGCAGTTAAAGTATCTTTCGAAAAAAGTTTTCTTACGGAAATTCAAGGAAATGATTTGACTGAAATACATGAGCCATGTTTGTAGTGAAACCAGCTTATGATATTTATATTATTTGAAACTAATATCTAAATTTCATGTTTATTTTAATTTATTATGCACAACTTTCTTTGTAATTCATAGTATTACTTTTCCATGAATACTGTATCAAACAAGTTGATATTTTACTCTGAATTCCTTTTATTTTTTTCCAATGGCGGACACTTGCCTATGTCGACATCGGCCACTTCCAACGCCAGATGTGGTGGTCTCTTTATTATGGAGGCATCCAACAGGTGGGCCACCTTTGGCTTCTATGAAGGGACAGACAATTACAACCATGCCTCCTCCGGGATTCGAACCCGGGCCCTTCGGTATCGCAGTCAGGCTTCCCTAACCACGATACCGCCTGCGCGGCACTCTGCATTCCTTATGCAAATCCTCCCACTTATGCAAATTTTCCCACTGAAATAGTACTTGATGTTGAACAGCAGAACAATAATATAGTAGCAAAAATTTTGGTGTTAAGGTGAACGAAATACACAGCGACAAATGAGAAGTGAATACCTACAAAACGAAAATTTGTAAAGCACAATTAAAAAAACATTTGATGTGTACACCACATGACTTCCTTTCCGTATAATTTAACACATGAAATCACGTGACTGGAATATTAAATTATGCGCATTTTTCCTTGCATTTCACTTAAGGATTGAATTAAATCTACCTCGTCGATAGCGCATAAACCATAATAGAATAAATGCACTCTTTCAAATTCACTATATTTGTTTACCATAGTGACACTCTGGCGCTAGATTCACTTAACAGTATTATTTTTCGTTCAACTCAGAATGCACAAAATTTATATCGTTTAAAGAATTATCTGATCGTTGCCACATTATCTATTCAAATACTATATTAAAGCTAGAACGATGTATAACAGAAATTAAGCAAACAAAACAAAAAAGCAACAGTTTTTCACAGACGATTGAGTATTTCTCATTCAATTAATTCAGTTCTGACTTCGCGACAAGGCAAAATTACATAAAACTCTAAATATATGTATTAAAAATTACGTAAGTAAATCTTAAATACTTATTTCCTCAAAAAAAATTCCAGAAAGGATTAAGCATGATTTAATTTGCAATAATAAATGAAGGCGTTATCTTTGTTGTTGCGAATCTAAGTTTCTCTAGATTGGCAACAAATCCATTATTACGCTGTTTCAAATGTAAACAAACAATAGCAGCCATCAAAAAATTATTAGGCTTAGCGGCACATAAACAACTTTAAAATTGTTAATAATTCTAAAAATATTGCATACAGATTTACTAAAGGCATAAAATCCTTAACAGGAAGATTAGAACAACATGATTCAATCATTTTTAAAGCAAAACAAATATGCAATTTAGAAACATATAAGAATAAAGAAACTGAGATCACTGAGCCGAGTAACAGAGAGGATATATATATATATATTTATATACCTTTGGTGCGGCCGATTACAACCAAAATACGAGGTACACAACATCTACATGTTATAGGAGTCCCATATACAAAATTTCAACGTTCTGAGGCTACTCGTTTTTGAGTTATGCGAGATACATACGTACGTACTCACAGACGCCACGAAAAATTCTCTTCAGAATTCATTTTAAATCAGTTTTACAATTTTTGGGGGAGAAGAGTCCTTTATTTTCTGTCCTTACGTATGGATGTCACGAAAAAGCATCTTTAAATTGCATTCGATAGCGGTCAAAATGGATATTTTCGTTGAAATTATGAAGCCTGAAATTTTTCGCGATTACAATACTTCCTTTTTACTTCGTACAAGGAAGTAAAAACAATTCATAACAAAGTTGTCAACAATTCATAACAATGTCAAGACATGTTGCAGGGTTTCTTTTAGTTGAAATAACGAATTATTCAGATTGTGTAATCTTTCCTGAACTCCTCAACTTCTCCTCACATTTCCTCGCCAGGATGCTAATTAAGTTAAATGAAGTGATTATTTAAACGGGTGAATCTTGGAGTTTATTCGGAACGGGGTTTCGCTAGCCAGAGCAAGTTTCGTTTCTGATCTCGCTGATACGCCTTTTGGCCATTTGAATAAAACGCTCTTAAGTTCTACCACAAGTTTTCGGTGTTATTGTAAAGCAAGAAGTACGTGCCTTTCTGTTCATGTTTGAGAATGATAAAGGGTTATTTTCACCCTTCTTCTGTGCTGGTAATTATTTCACGCCTGTGCGAGAAGTCTCCAGGTTCATTAGTAGTATCTAGATAAGTTTATAAGGTATTTCTTTCGCCTTCTTGGCATCCCTTCGTGGTGTGGTGGTCTGCACGCTGGGCGCGTATTCCAAAGGTCCGCGGTTCGATTCCCAGCGAATGTGTTGCTAATTTTTCATCTTACCTGCTTCCAAAAATACATAATGTCTCTACAAGTTTCTGTGGCCAAAACGAGTTACATCCTATAATGTTGCAAAGAAAAATTTTGTTTGTTAACTTTTATTTACTCCGTTAATAGTAGTGTTAAAGTTTTACATTAAAATGCTATAAAATGCTACGAATATATCTATATTCTTGAAACCTTCCTCAGCTGTATAATACCAATAATGTACCATAAAAACAATTATCAATGTGTATTTTTCTTTGTATTATTAAATTAAATAAAGTCTAGGGGAAAGTGCAGAATCCCCCACTGCTTCGTGCGTTTCTAAAAATCGCAAAATTGAAAATAACAAGTCAAAGAATTGCACAAACACGGTATCCATGTACACATCGACCTATTTTCACTTAAAAAAATCACAAAACTGTACATGATAATTGATAAATAAAGGTAACACACAAAAAATCGCCTCTTTGGACGTAATTTTAAACCGGAAACCTTCCATATTTTATTTCACTTTTTTATTGCCTTTTTGTTCTTCATAAAGCATTTTTAAACCTTTTTTGCCTTAGGAGAGCACTGGCAGTGCCCATCAAATTTGATTACAGAAAATGGCGCAATTTGCGCCGAATTGTCCTTCGTAACCCTCGATCCGGACTGGAATTTCCATGTGAAAGCACATAAGGAATTCGCCAAATGATTTACTTTCACAGAAACTCATAACATCTGCTCCAATTCCATAAAGCATCATCAAATTTTATGACAGGCTAACATGACAGCCATCTTCTTTGTTATTCAACAAATTGAGGCAACTACCAGACTGCCATTTCGACAATGCAAGAGAAAGTGTAATCCGTCCGTACGCCGTTTTAAAAGCAGAGAAATTCTCATGCGAAACAACGCTTTCTGGTCACTTTCAGACACGCCCTGTGCTAAACTTCGTCAACAAATCAGCCTAAACAATCTACCACCAAACATACCTGACCTTAATCTGCGGCAGTGGTTTTTTGTAGAGACATTAAAAGACCGTTTAGCAAGCCAAAACATTTTGCTGAAAAAAGCTTTTAGAGGGTGAAGTGCTTTCACCTAGTATTACAATTATATTACTGTTCTTACGCCTTCTGCTCGGAGGTTAGTGTTGCATACGAATGGAGTTTTACCCGTGTATCATGTTTGGCTATTGTTAAACAGTTTCTCACCTTTATGTTTGTTGTTAATTTGTTATTAGTCCAGTTGGTCAAGGAAACATATTTGTTCTTAATGCATTTTGTGGGCTATTCAATGCTTTTGGGTCTTTGTTATTCGTGGAACACACACACACATATTCAGGCGAACATCGCTGTAACGAGACCAACTTATAACGACCTAACATTTTTATCTCGTCTAGTTCCATACACATTTAATGTTATTTTATGCTGTTATAGCAAACCCTCAAGAGTAAGAAAATCGCATATGACAAGCTGGATATCTTGGAATGTTCTTTTTTTTATACTTTTCTGAATTTTCTGCTCGTTTTAATGAAAGAGTTATTAATCGTTGAAATCAGCCATGTTTACGATATTAGAATCGACATTCCGTCCGTACAGGCAAACACCTTTATAGTATTTTTTAGCTCAAACCACGTTAGCACAGAATGGTTATTAATTTCGTTTTGGCATTTTGCGTTGGTTCACTATAAATGTCGGTTCACTTTTCAAATTGTTGCCACCCAATATTATCGCCCTGTGTTATATTAAAGAAATGAAATAATGAAAAATCTGAATGAATGTATGTATATTTTTCGCATTGTGATAAAATCACGACACCTAGAGCCATCCAGTTTTGAATAACGTAATCTTCCACCGAATATGGGCATTTGGAAGCCCTAATTTTGAGTTTTGAATTTGTTTTATAATCTATTTTATATTCGTCAGACATTAAAGAATTTTTGATTAACACACTCAACGATTTCACAGCGAGCCATGGCAACACTGTACAGAAGAAAAAAAGCATTTTTTCCTCGAACAACGTAAGACTGTCAATCGGAAATTCTGAAAATATGAGGTTTTTATATATTTTTAGCCCAAAGGGGCGTTATGCGTAAATACTCTCTAAATGTGTATGTGTGCGTAAAGGCCCCTTTGGGCGTAGTATAAAATATGAAAGCTTTCAGATTTTTATTTATTTAAAATTTATATTTATGAAGAGTATTGCGATTATTCCTACAACATCTGCTGAAGTTAATGCGGAGTTAGAGGAAATACAAAAAGCTGTATTTCGTAGTCGTTCCCAAATAATCTCGGTCAGAGATACAACAGTTATCCCCAGCGAATTTGCCGATTATTGTTCTAAACAGAATATTAGTCATCGTTTAATTACTACTGGCCAGCCGAGAGGTAACGGACAAGTCGAACGCATCAATTTCGCTCAGTGTTATTCTAAGGTATTTCTCCCGTCTTCTAGCATGCCTTCCTGGTGTAGTGGTCAGCACACTCGGTGCGTATTCGAGAGGTCGAGGTTCAAGGTCTTGGCGAGAGCATTGCTCATGTTTCATCTCTCCTGCTTCCAAATAACCTAATGACTTTACAATACAAGCTCACAAAGGAATTGCAGCAGACTATTAAATCAACATGTGAAGTATAAATACCACAGGCCTTGAATTGCTCTTTGGTACAAATCGAAGCTGAAATTCAAGCAAATTTTGAAACTGAAAGACATGGACTTAGAACGCATGCGGAGCAACAGATACTTAAAATTTATGAAAACAACAAAACGTTTAATTTAAGAGGAAGAGAGCCAAGATCATACAATGTCAAAGATTTAGTAGCTAAGCTAGAATTCAGATTTTATACTCAGACAAAAAGAATTCAGAC